AAATATACAATGCCACTTTTCGATTTGCTCATCTATCGATCCAAGCAGCGCGTGGCGAGGCGCGAGTGGGAGACTTAGCTATCGGCCAAGGTAGTCTCTCTCTCTCTTTCTCTCTCTCTCTCTCCTTAGTCGAATCATGAATGTCTCACACACACACATTCCATCGATAGGACGAGGAAATCGGAATGAATCCTTTGCTGAAACGGGAAATATACACTGCCTCTTTTTGCTCGTTCTATCGATCAAGTAGCGCGCGCGCGCACACACACACACACACACACACACACACACACACCTACACACATGAATAGTAATGCACCTTTCCATGTTTTTGCTGTTGGTTCAATCGTGTGGTAGTGTATTTTTCAGTTTTTAGTGGTTTATTCATTCGACTTTTCTTATCATATATATTGAACTACTATGAGGTTTGTTGCGCGATAGGAGCACACATACACACAGTAGTAAAGTATACATTCGTTCTATAGCGTTAGATTCATTGATTTCCCCCCTCCCTATCAATGGAAGTAGCCGAAAACTTAGTCGACTTTGCTCATCCGATCGATGGAAGTAGCGAGATGCAAATCGCGGGAAACTCACACTCACACCTACGTACACACACACACATTCCATCGATAGGTGAACAAAAACGAAATGAATCTTCCGTTGAAGGGGGATCTACTCTCCCCGATTGAACGGAACCTGGCCGGCATTATGGCCAGGTACAGTGCAGAAGGAGGGAGAAGTGCGCAATGCAATGGAAATCGGTAAAGGGAGGTAGAACATCGAATGGGAGTAGAGCGTGAAGTAGTGAAGGTGAGCATGCGCGAAAGAAAATGAAGGCGTGTGGTGACGAAAACACAAAACAACGAGAACGGAGACTGAGATAGGGAGAATCGTGGAAATGGAGTAAGAGAGAGAGAGAGAGAGGGAGAGAGAGAGAGTTCTTCTTCTTCCTCTTCTAAATCCACCATCTCTTCGTCACCCTCTGGCATCTCAGCATCTGCGGACTACGAGAGAGAGAGAGGCGGAGAGACTATAAGTCTCCGACCACGGCTCGCCGCACTCTACTCACATCAACAGAAAGAGCAAATAAAAAAGTGGATCGAAGAAGGACGATCACTTGCCGTTCTTGAGCAGAGGAAGAAGGCGGTGGATAAGACCAGAAGCAAGGACGGTAAGGTGGCTCACAACGTAGAGGTGAGGTGCCGTAATGCCTCTCACATTTGTAATACCACCTTCTTCCCCGAAAACGGGGTACGCTCACTCCACTCGCCCTAATGCCTACGAACCTCTACCCCTTCTTCCTCCTCTTCTAGCCCTTCATCTTCCTTTTTTTCCAATCCTTCTGCTCTTTGGTCAACTCTATAGACCTCTCAGCGGCCTTCCCTTACCTTCCATTTCTTCCTCTCCCAGTATCAGTCTCATGGCCCTTGGGTGCCATATTCGTGCCATATTCGTTAACTCTTAGTATAAGTAGGACGATTGTACTTATGTGTATTTAGTCCCTATCTTACACACTGATTTATTTGGAGCAATTACTCGTCACCAGCTATCCAAGTTACCGTATTTTGCTTAGATCTTAACCTATTCCCTGATTTGTTTTTAATGATTGTCGTTTTGCCAGGATCTTGCCTTACCCGAGTTCCTTCCCTAAGGACCTCAGCTAGAAGCGAGATCCTCAGCAACGGCGTCACCTGTCGCCGTTGCCGGGGGACTTCACACCCAAGCAACAGTCTTAGAACATCTCCAACGATAGTCAAGGTATCAAGTCATCAACCATATACATCTAATGATAACTTTTCAATTTGCCTAAATTTTCTATTACCGAACCCGAGTGTCGTTCCACCAGGGACAACGGTAGGCAACCGTCATCCCCGGCAACGGCGCCACCTGTCGCGCGCGGCGGTCCCACACCCTAGACGCAAAGTAGTTTTGTGTTGGACCTCACGGTCGCGTCACGCAGGAGTTTTCTTTTTGTCACTTTATGAAACACCAACTCCGACCGTGCGCGCGTGCTATACCTCTCACGACTCCCTATGACAGGTGAGGGATCCCGCGAGGTACAACATACCTCCACCTGCAGGAGCTGTCACCATCCCTTAGGTGGGCGTATCCCTGCTGAGCTACTGACCCACGTGCGAAGGCTTTTACATGCAATCGCAGAGGTAGGTCAGCGGAGGGTGTTTTCTCGATCGCTGTAGCATAGGCATACGCGCGGTAGAACGCCTTAAGACTGACCCGTATGTCGTGCCCCGAGGCGCTAATTCCCCGGACCGACTATTAATCAGGTCGATTTTTCTAAGACAGTCTTCCGTGCTTAACTAACTTAAGACAATGACTCTATGTTTCCTTTGTTGACCTTATGAAAATGTCAGAGTCAAACCCTTAGTAATCTCTCATTCTTCTCAAAAGAAGCCCCAGACAAATGACTTCCTGGGTACCGACCAGCCTACGATCTCATTCACAAGTATATATATATATAAATGTATGTATGTAATCAGGGGAGCTGACTGAGCGGTGGACCTCACTTCCATGATTGTCGTGTCCCTTTGCCCGAATATCTCAGACGATCCCAAACTCAGAAGACAACACAAACGTCCAACACCTGTGCAGATGCAAGACATGACATACACACATACAGATGCAGACACAGAATGCGCTACAAGCGTCAACCTTTAATCCATTCATAGCATGTCACTCACACCCCAAACCCTTGAAAACAACATTCCTTCCTAACCCTGATTCCATTTTACCCCAGCCCCACAAATTTTCGAAGACTCCTGAGTGTGATTTGGACAATTTAGGCATAGATACAGGGGGAAGATTTATCTGTTCCCTTCTCAGGTCTTGTCTTAGGTGTGGGTATCAAGCCATGGGTGGAAGTTGAGTCGGAGTTCTCCCGACCTGTTATCAAATGATAACAGAATTGTTGTTCTTACGGATTCCCCGTAAGTTCTCCGAAGTGTCGAAACCTGTAGACACAACACAGTCCAAGAGAAACTTAACATCCCTCTTCCTAACTGAGATCTAGAAAGTTTTCTTCTAGACTCTGTGTTTTCTGTCTGACTCCTATCCTTAACTAATTGTTTGGGTTGCTGCCCTTTCGCTTCAGGTAGTGAATAATAGTTCACTTCCCTTTTTACTTCTCGTAGTAACTCTCCATATTCTCTTCACTATCTCATTCCTATCCCCTTCTGGATTATCCTGTCTGAGCTTCCTTCCTTCTCCCAACACACATAAACACATCATCAATCCAACCTGTGGAAAATAATCTCAAGGAAAGAAATTAGACAAATGAATAGTCTCTCTCTAAGGCAAGATCTCACTTATCCCCTCTCAGTAGAATCAGAGATAGTTAGTTAGGACTGAACAATGCAACGGCGTTTTCGTTAAAAATGAACTGTTTTGTAAAAAGTGAACATAATGAAATTAACGAATTAACGGAATAAAAGGTAAATTATAGAACAAAAAAAAAAAGATTTTAATATTCCGACACAATGTAAACCTGGAGCAGAAAACTGTCCAAATGATTAGAATATAAACGGAAAAAAATGACATCGTATGCGAAGGAAAAAATTGCGAAATTTGTAAAACCCTTGACACATTCAAACAAAGAGCAACTCTCCAAAGTCCAAGTCTTAGACCTTAAGTTGCTACAAATTATAAGAACACCCTTCATATGGAGACCGTGGAAGGAAAATTTAATGCAAAAGTTCATTGGCAATTATGTTAAAAGCAAAGCAGTGCCATTTACATCAGCTCAATGGTGCGTCAGACTCTATGAACTCTTAAAATTACACATTGTCAAAATCTTCGTCAAAGTTGACTATAATTGAAATCAACTTCTAGGCACTGCTAGATAACACTTCAAAACGATATTATAAGGCTACTTGAATCAGACCTAAGTACGTAATGGACATATTAACACGATCTGCGTGATAAATTTAACACTCTCCTCATGTGAATTGTCCAATTTTCTACAGTGCTCGTCTCATTGTGCCCATCGAACGTGGGGTCCTTGTACTCTATGTAAGTTTCTATGACTTCATACTCTCACAACAGAAGACTTCGTAAATATGTAATCGCTGTGTCCACGAGCCCATCCACGAGTGTTTTGAGCGACGGTTGGTCCATGATCCTCCTTCCAAACGTTTCCCCTCTTCGTTCGTCGATGTCATGTGCATTGGATATGTTTGCACTTGTAGAATGATCGTTATGAATAAGAAAAGAAAGTTTGCAGCGCCCTTGGATACTTAACGCTGCACAGTACAAGGTCATCACCTTGAAGTCGTTGTGGTAGAACGTCAATGCTGAATAATACAATTCTGAATACGGTGCGAGCACTTCTCGCGGATATTCTCTTGTTCCACAACACCTACGACCACAAATATACAAACATTGTCGAGGATAATGCTCCCAGCAATCCGGTGCGACATCCACACCTCTGACACTGAGTACTGCATCCTCGAAAACCACTTCAGGTGTGAAAAAGATACACCCCATATCATGCCATACATTTCTGCCCCACACCATATTGTTTGGCGGTCATCCAGTCGTTGAATGAACCATTCTGCAACACATCAAATACAGAAGCAGTAAAAGGCAAACCAATGATATATAGTTTAACTATATACGAATGAAAGCTCAATGACAAGTAAATGGTACACCAACAAGCACGAAATGAGGCATTCTCAGCGACTTCTCCTATTGGTTTTCATCATCTGGAAGTGAAAGACATGCCAATGCTTTCTCTCTGACCGATTTGGGAATGTGCACTCCATTTTCCAAATGCAACGTTCTTGATGACCAGCTCCACAAAACACAGTTTACGTGTTGCCACTGCTGTGTTGTTGTGCTGTATTTCTTCCATATCTTCTTCCATGCATTTGTATATTGCAGAGAAAGACTTTTAACGACAAGTTGTGACACCCAATATTCAATAAGAACATGATTGAAAGCAGGCGACTTTCTATCATTGTCAATATTATAAATGACTCTACCCGTCCACACGGGAACTCCCTGATCAATATCATCTTGCGAAGGACGCAAGAGAACGAATTCACCCTTTTCGACATCCACAACCGGGTCGAGCTCTGCTTTTGGAAGCTCATTGGCTGGCCCAACAAACAACGACTCCTTATTCCCATTGCTCTGCAAGAGGAAGACAATATCAATATCCTCAGCATCGTCCTTCGTAATTCTGTCCCGCGAGGGCCAAAAGCCAGCCTTGAGTGATGTTTTCGCAAAGCCAGACCCATAATTTTGCTCGATTGTGTCCAGGAAAGTTTTCCAGTGTGAAAGAGCACTCTCCTTTGAGAAGCTAACCTCATCTTTCATTCCCAACCACTCGTACCGCTTGTTTTCCAACCACTCAACAAACGTCTTCACGCCTTCAATTCCTGATTTGAAATCCGAATTCTTATCCTTAGCGGGTTGACCACGTGATGTTTATGTAACAGGTCGAACAGGTGACGGAAGAACATGCTTTATTTTCATCTCGTTTCAAGCAATAGACCGGAGAAGACCAATGCGGAGAAGTGCAATACTTTTTCCACTGGAACACAGGATTGTCATCCTCCATATAAAACCTAAATAAATGTGGTTTTGTATGACCGGTCAGTCTGTTGACCAGGAAGGGCTTAACAGCTCCCCGCCAGTCAGCAATTTCATCTATGAATGTGCATAAAGGACGCTCGTTTTGGGAACTGGCAACGAGTTTGAACAGGTCGAGCATGGTATAAGCATTGTGCATTTTCAGTTTGCTAGAGAAATGACTGAAAGTGGCATCGACGTCCGTATGTGTATGTCCTACCAACATAAAACCGAATTCGACTTCTTTTAAGAAGCCAAATTTCACCAAAGTTGCGGCCAAAGACAAAACGTATTTGTTTTTGTTTTCTCTCCAGCAGTTGTCGGCTTGTATCCTCAATTTAGGAGATAAGTCGCTTGTCGCTTGTATGTCACGCAGAACTTTCATAACGGATGACACCACAGTATTGGAATCATGTGGATAGCAAGGGTACCATGTGTGAACATGCACCGATGGTGAATGGCTATGTGCGATAATAACTGTTAAATTTATTTTCATCATTGGAATATTTGCAAATGCCTTCGACTTGTTTTCTCCGCTGAAGTGTGGAATACTCGTCTTGCTTTGATCCATACCGTCAATAATGATGCATAAATTGTTGGAACCTGGTCTCTTCGACTCATCCTTCCACACCTCATAAGCAACACGGTGTTGGAGCTGCAAGTCCAAGTGTTTGCCGTGTTCCGAAACGAAATAATCACGCACACGTACGAACTTCGCAGAATTTATAGATTCTTTGAACTCAACACACTTCTCGCATTTCACAAAGTTTTGATCAACTTCATGGAATTTCACATGCAGAAGTGTGTTCTCCACATGTTATAAAAAACTTGGAGAGAAACAGAAGGGACACCCAAGTTGCCAAATTGTGACTTCAACAATTTATAAATGTCAACCTTGTTATAGCAAGCAGGCAATCTCAAAACCACTCGTGATTCTCCATCTTTGATCCTCATGTCATTAGGCATGGAATCTCCATTGTCACGCACAAAGGAGCTTAGTATGCCGAACATCGTCATATATGTTGCAGATGTGCGTCTGAGTCCAGTGCTGCCATGCTCCGGCATAATGTAACCTTTTGACAAAGTCACCCTCTTTTTCAAAAATGTATTCCTGCACACACCCAGTGTGAAACACTATGCACTAATGCACACCTTTCTTTTCCCCACAATAGGTTGCACAATCTCTTTCTCATCTTCCACGAAGGTGAACCTCTTTAACGTTTCAACCCACCATGCATCTCTACTTTTGTGATCCTTACAGTAATATGCACTCCGGACAGCTTTGATGTCTTCCATGGTCATGCGAGCGCAACAATCTTGTTTACAACAAACTTGTCCGCGCACACTCGCCAGTGTTTTTTTGGTGAGCTTTCTGTGCAATGTTTGCAGAATCTTCTTTGACCGAGGCATTCAGACACGGAAAGTATAAGGACGCTTCTCCGACGACAAACGTTTGGGGAAAATATCATCAAAATCAGAGATGACATCAGAGCTCTCCATACCGTTGCGACAGTAGTGGTCAGTGCCATCATCATCGCAAGGTTGTAGATGATCAATTTTGTCTGGAGAACTGTTGGCGTCAGATGACATCGAAGCACCAGATTCCGAACCATCTTCATCACTCTCGCCAAACAGAAGGCCTGTGCCCTCGAAATCTCGTAGCGAACTTCTCGGCACCCACATGATACGATCTACATCGGATGTGTTCCTGTCACCGGAGGCGGCCCTACCCTGACCTTCCGAACCTTCTGCATCAGAGGTTTTCACTGGCCCGCCTAAGGTTGGAGATGCACTTTCGCATGTGGTTTCTTCACACGCAGCCATCCGATACCATTTATGATCAGAAAATTCTGGAGTTATTTGAACGTCTTGCGAAAACATTGGCAGGTTTGGGGGAGGAAGCTCGTCACTAGGCAGTATATCAGATGCCACACAGTCCATGCTTTCCAAAGTTCTGCTGGCAGCTTGCCGCGGTGCATGCCCACCACAAGCCATTTAAAACGTTTCTGCGATGACAAAACAGTGGACCACTGACACAAGATATACATATCAGTAACAAATCCGCAGCTAGATGGATCACATGCGGTACATGTAGAGTGCAACACATGTGGTTCAGCGCCTCCACTGCTAGCCATACACTACCGATGTAAGGCCCGTGAATACGGAAAAAAGTACAGTCTTCAACAGAAGCGATGCACGATAGACACGGCGACTGGCTGTCGTGTTGAACGTGATGATCTCCCGCCTCGGTCGTGTCCAACACGACGGCGCATCATCGCATTGCACAACACGACAGGCGCACACGGCGAGATCCACCGTCACCGTATTCTCACTACAATGCGGTCATGTCCACCGCCGTCGTGTTGAAGATGACGATGAGCGACCGCCTGCTTGTTGAACGCGACGGTGCTTTGGTGGCGATAATGTCCGCGTTCGACCGTCGCATGCTGAACATTACCACCGGCATGGCGGCTACGAGAGTGACCGTCATCGCATCTAACACGACGGCGGGGTCGGGGTGTGCCACCTTTGTCGTGTTCGACACGATGACAGCAACCGTCATCGTGATGAACACGACAACGCGGTCGTTTTCAGCACGTGGTGTACATGCCCGCGCTCGAGCGTCATCGTATTGAAGACGACATGCTGTCACTTTCGACACGAGGACAGCGACCGTCACAGGTTGAGCACGACGGCGGGGTCGAGGGGTGCCACCGCGGTCGTGTTCGACACGATGAAAGCGACTGTCAGCGGGTTAAACACGATGGTGGGGTCATGTTTTGAACGTGCTGTACATGCTCGCACTCGACCGTCACCGCATTGCACAAGTATACATCAATCTAACTCTACAAATAAATATAACTGATTTTATATGTAACTTATTCTCTATAACTTATTGATACAACTTCTTGGGTTGTGGGCATCCACCTCTGTCATGTACGACACGATGACGGCGATCGTCATCGGGTAGAACACGTCGGTGAGGTCATGGGGTGCCATCGCGGTCGTGTTTGACACGGTGACAGCGGCCGTCATCGGGTTGAACACGATGGTGGGGTCGTGTTCAGCACGTGCTGTACATGCCCTCACTCGACCGTCACCGTATTGAACACGACCGTGGGGTTGCGGGGTACCACTGCAGTCATGCTCGACACGATGACAGCGACCGTCATCGGGTTGAACACGACGGTGAGGTCGGGGGGTGCCACCGCGGTCGTGTTCGACTCGATGACAACGACCATCATCGGATTGAACACGACGGTGGGGTCATGTTCAGCACGTGGCGTACACGCCCGCGCGCAACCGTCATCGTGTCGAACACGACGGTCGTCGTGTCGAACACGACAGTCATCGTGTCGGACACGACGATCGTCGTGTCCGACTCGATGATGGACGGCTCTGTGAAACTGTGGGAGAAATTTTGTTGACGTCCTGAAAAAACACGAATGACGAATAACAGCAGTGGATGGGCGCGATTGGGGGGTTGTGGCGGGGGGGGGGGGGGGGGGG